CAACAAGTCTTACAATGTTACTGGGCCCACTCAAGCAAATCAATGAACAATGGGAGGGCAGTGACAGTGACAGTCGTGAAATTTTCTTATAAATGGATGGTCATGGAGAGTGTCATGCTAAATGAAATGAGTCAGAAAGAGAGGAACAGACATAGAATGACTGCACTCATTTGTGGGATAGAATTAAAAAAAAAACAAGCAAAGTATGAGCCTAACACCCAAGGACAGTAGAAACAAGGGCCAGCATGAATGGTCCATGGTTGTAAGCCTGCTTCAAGGGCTGGGGAAGAGGACAGCTGTGATAGAGAAGGAACCATTATGACAAAGATGGTTGGAGGGATCGCTCGTGATGGGAGATGTGTGCTGAAAGTGGGCAAAGAAAACATGATGGCCTCTCAGTATCCGTCTTGCAAACCATAATGCCGAGAGAGAGAGAGAGAGAGAGAGAGAGAGAGAGAGAGAGAGAGAGAGAGAGAGAAGTGCCTGCCCCATAGAGGCAGGTGGGGGGTGGGCAGGACGAAATCTGGGGACACTGGTGGTGGGAAATGTGCACTAGTGGAGGGATGGGTGTTGGTGCATTGTATGACTGAAATCTGAAAACCAAAGCTTTGTAACTGTATCTTACAGTGATTCAATTGAAAAAAAGGTGGTGAACAAGATCAAAGGCAGTCCTCTGCATGCGCGGACACACACACACACACACACACACACACACACACACACACCTCTATCACATCAGAATTAGAAAGTCACACTTATAACTGGAGCACAAAATGGTAAACAGTGAGACTCATTATCTAGGAATTCCAAATGTCTCAATCAGATTGTTTCCTTTTGAGTATAAGGACTGTGTTTAACATCATCTCTTAAGAAAACACACACACACACACACACACACACACACACACACACGCAACAGCATTAGCAGCATGCAGTTCTGAACAGCCAGCAGGCAGGCAATCGCTACTGCCTAGATTTATGTGGAAACTCACAGAAGGAAGTGGAACTGTGTCCTAGTTTGATCAAATAATCCAAATAAACCTTGAGTGCCCTGAGCTTTGGAAACCGAGCCAAAGAGCACATGCTTTCTGGAGACGTGACCTTAAAGGTAAACATTTCTAATCCATCCAAACTCTCAGGTAAGTGAAAACAGCCCACGGCCAGCCTCTGGGAGGGATCACAGCAGGGGCCTCTCAGAGTGACCCTTAAAACCTCCGAAATCGACGCTTCGAAAAGACACGGATCTGAGGGTTGTGTTTATGGATAAATGTCCTTGTTTTCTCCCAGCCATTATGAGGAATGCTGCATTATCCCTCCTAACATCTGTGCGAAGACTCCCGGGTCTGACCGAATCCAAACCTGTATTTGTATCTGCTAGCAAGACGGGGAGTGAATTTGCCCTCTCCTCTCTGGAAAGAAAAATGGCGGCCGCACGGAACCTTGTGGACAGCAGGTTTGAGCCGCAGGTGGGGGCGGCAGGGATCTCATGGGAAGGGGGGCGTTCTGGTCCGTCCTTCACGCCCGACCGAGGTCGCGAGCTGCCCCCCACGAGCAGCTCTTCGCCACGGCCACGACTCCAGAGCACTGAAACCAATCTCTTAACTATCTAACTTTTAATAGAAATACTTCCAGGGTTAATAAGTAAAATAGCAGAAATCCAATTTTTAATTCTTAAAACCCAGCTGTAGAAAGCAAATCATTTCACAACGCTTTTTCAGCATGTCTGATTGGGGGGGGGGTCGTAAACTCTAAATAATAATGGTGCATCTTTTATCGAAACAATGAATCTAGTCAAAGTAGATAGAGTGTTAACTAGAACTCATCTGCCTCACAGGAATTGGGAGGGGTGGGAGGTGGGGTTCTATTGGGGTTCACGGTTAAAAATAAGTATTGGTAAAGGGAAATGTGTTTGATATTTACATGACTGAGACCTAAACCTGAAAGCTCTGTAACTTTTCCCACAGTGATTCAATAAATAAATAAATAATTAAAAAAAAATAGACGAGGAGTGAAGGGCTCAGACTCATGGAACCGCATTTGTGCAGGAAGTGTCCAGATCGCCGGGGTATGTGCGCGCTGGCAGCTCCAGCAAATGGGAGGAAATAAACAGCAAGTAACTGCATAAAATCTGATGGATTTCTAAGAACAGTTAGCCAGGATTCCTTTCAACTGTGAGCACTTGATCAATTTTGCATATGGTAGAACCCAAACATATTTCTCCTTTCTGGATTTCATGGTAAACACTGTAGTAGAGAGAGCTACCTTTGGGGACTTGGGGCTGAGGGATAATATTAAGAATGATGACAGCCAAAGTGAATGTCTTGCAGGCCCCGAAGTCACACACACCAGGGCCCGACCTGAGTTAAACAACAGTCGATCTTTAAACAGTGTGTGTGTGTGGGGAGGGGCACCAAGCACTCAAGCCCATGACTGCAATTTAAGGACCACAGGTCTGACGCAGACCACTGTCATCTCTGCTCTTGCTTCTGAAGCTGACTGATCCGTGAATATCAAACCCGAGGACAGGAAAAAAAATCCTACTTTTCCCTATTTTGTGGGGTCGAAGCAGTGCATGTTGTTCCAGCGTCGACTGTAGTTGACACTGGAAGAGGTTTTTGTCTTGGTCTGGGGGATAAGAACTGACCTCAGGTTCTGAAGCCAAGACTTAACCTCCTGCCTTACTAGAGCTGGCGAGTGTGGCTGGTTCCCTCCCCTGTGGACAGCGACACTCAGCTCAGAAGGGTGGGGAAGAGACGCTATGGCAGCTGGGGGGACAAATGGTGTTGGGGGACATTGGCCCCTGCAATGTCCTCCTCAACACTGCCCAGTGGACGTCGCACCACTGCAACACATCCTCACGCAGCTAGGGAGGGATGCTTTCATTCTATTTCATTTCGTAGCTACTTATTTGTTTTTTGGCCACGCTTGGCAGTGCTCAGGGATCACTCCTGGCAGGGCGCAGGGGATCATGCATGATGCCAGGCATCAAACTTGGGTCAGCCACGAGCAAGGCAAGTGTCTGAGCCACTGGACAGCTCTTCAGTCCCCAGTACAATCTAGAAAGGACCCTTTGCTAAGTTTTGGGGTTAACTTCCAAAGTAGACAGAGAAAGGGGAAGAGGTGGGCAAGACAGCTGGACCTTGGAGAAACAAAGAGGCTTGTGGAGAGTCAACAGCAAGCCCAGGGCCAGCGAGGACGGTGGCTTGTCCTGCCTCCAGCCCCGTCTGCTGCTTCTGAGGAAAAAAGCAAGCGGCCAAGCATGCCAGCTGGAACTGGAAGTCAGCGTACCGGTGGGAGGGCAAGACGGTCACTGCTGCTGGGGATTAGCAGCCCTGAAGCCCTGCAATAGGGACCAGGGTCCCCAAGGCCCAGCAAGGCGTTGCTTCAGAATAAACTGGGCTGCTCTTTAGACCAGGATACTTTTGTTGCTTTGGTTACTGTGGGACTAAATCTGGCAGTGCTCAGGGCTTACTTGAGGCTCTGTGCTTAGGGATCACTCCTGGTGGGTCTGGGGCACCATATGGGGATTGACCTCTGGTTGGCCTGTGCAGAGAAAACCCTTCCCATTGGACTACCTGTCCCCCCAACCCCCCGCCCCCGAAGGGTTGTTTAAATCTTCATCACAGAACGTTTTTGATCACACGAGTGAGAAGAGCTGAGAGTGTCATGCACCCGGGGTGAGATCTCAGCTCTGACTGTCCCAGCCTCCTGGTTATGGGCTTTTCATTCCTCACGGCTCATCCTGGCACCGCGTTGAGCTTTAATCGTTGATTCTTATGGTGTTGGAGCAAGAACACCCACCCCTGTGCCCGCCTCAGCACGGGCACTGCCTTGTCGGGGGCTGTTACCTGCATGGCTGCACCCACCTCCACCTCTCGCTCCAGACTCTGCACAGAGTCAGACACCCCGAGAGCCACTTTCTGGTGGCCTCTGGGGGTCCCAGAGAGGAAAAACCCGCAGCTCACACCCAGATCTTGTAAGGTGTTGAGGGGAGGAGGGCAGCTCTGAGGGTGGGCAAGGACGGGCCACCTGGCACAGACACTGGCAGGACAGAATGTCAGGGCAGACCGTGGCTGGTCTCGCGCCTGAGCCAAAGTCTGCCTAACAGGGGCTTGGGGTAGACATCCCTGCTGGTTTCTGCCACAGCTCCTGGCCTGTCCTACTACTGGACACCCCGGGCTTGTGCTCCCCTTTCTCACCCTTCTCTCCCCGGACAGGTGCCATGTCCAGGTGAATCATGGGAAATCGACATCAGACGCATCTTTACCTTTGTGACGCCTCCCGGTACGCAGGAGGTGCTCAGAACTGTGCAATAAGCAAACACGAACATGCGTTTCCACAGCTCAGGCCTGTATGTCATGGACTGCAGCTTCGGGCTGGCCCAGGAACCGAGCCAAGTGGCTGGGAAGCGCTCAACTTCCACAGGAGGAGAGGAGATCCTTAGTTATTATTTATTTATTTATTTAATTTTTTTGCCTTTTGGATCACACCCAGTGGTGCTCAGGGGTTCCTCCTGACTCTGCACTCAGGAATTAGTCCTGGCGGTGCTCGGGGGACCATCTGGGATGCTGGGGATCAACAGGGTGTCGCTGAAAATGTAGGAACATGCAAGACTCTAAGAACCCAGAGCCAGACACCCTCGTCACAGAGCCAGGACTGAAGCCAGCTGCCCTGCACGAGTCAGGCTGTCTTGCCGGAGTGTCGGATCTGGGCAAGCCTCAACGAGAGGCCCTGAGAGGGGTCCAAGCCCCAGGCTGATGCATTTTTAAAAGTAACACCACTTGGCATGTTCTGGACAATGAGGAACTTCAGATGAAGAACAAAAGTCAAGGAAACAAGCCTGGGAACTTCTAACAGAGTGCTGAACATTCCACTGGGGGTGTCCCAGGGCACTTCCCACCCACCCCAGCCCGTCCTGGAGGGCTTCGAGCTGTACTGAGGACAAGCAAGTCCAGGAAAACGGTGGGCACTGTGGGGGCAGCGGCCTGGCACCTTCTTACCTCTTCGCTCTGTCTTTCTCATCTTCATCCATTAGATTTTCTATGCAGTTTTTCCTGTGAAAAAAAAGAACATATGATCACTGTCTGTTTCTAGAACTTTCTCCCGAGCCTTTCTAGCTGTCACTATTTTGGCCTGACCGGGATCGTATGCCTCATGCCAGAGCTTTCAAGATTTTTGATCCCAGTCACTCTTTATATGCTCAAAAATGAAGGCTGTTTAGTTTTGTTTGCATTGGTGCTGGGGAGACTGAACGCAGAATCTTATCCTTGTGAAGCATGTGCTCTACCTCCGAGCCACTGACAGCCCTGGCCAGAACCTACTGAGGCTCTGAAGCGCTCCTGCATAACAGCTGAGAAATACTCTATGTGCAGGTGCTCGTCGTGTTTAGAATGACGAAGTAACCAGACATTCAGAAAGCTCAGGAGAAGAGCACTGGGCACCCATGAATGTGAAGCCCACTGCTACTATTAGAGGATGCTCTGGCCCCATCGGCACCCAACCCCCAGATGACACTTTGAGAACTTCTTCTGTCTTGAAACACTTGATGAAGCATCTGTTTACCTCAAACCTTGAACCCCAGAACAGGCCACAAGGAAATTTCTCTCTTCTTTCAAACACACGTGCTTGGAGGATGCCTCAGAGGAGGGGCCTGAGGTCCTCTGAAGAAGATAGTGTTTCTCAACAGTTTCTCAGTGATGTCCCCCCCTCTTATTTCCTTCCCATGCCCACACCCAGCTGATCCCCTAGTCTCAGGCTGTGATTCTCCGTTCATGTGATTTTCACCTGCTGCTCCCTTGATATGTGCCAGGGATCCTCAGGGGGATCTTATGGGCCCTGACTGAAAAATGCCACTGAGAGCACTAAGATTTCTCAAGCGAGTGGAGGTACAGTCGGACCACACTGAGTCACAGTCCAGAATGTTCTCGCAGCCACAGTCACTGGAGACAGCCTCAATCTTGGCTGCTCTGCCCTCCCGGGCCTGGCTGCGTCTCTCTCTGCCTGATCCCATTTCCTCTTCTGCCACGTACCACAGAGTAAGTCAGATCCTCTGACCACGCGGCAGTCCTGCCCTGCTCGGCCCGTACAGGCACACTTCGGGGTGTCAGGGCTCCAGAGAGGGGAAGGCAAGGGTGGCCAACCTTCAGGGTGGGGCTGGGAGAGTCTGAGTCACTCTCCCCCTGCCTTCTTCTCATGGACCAGAGACCGAGCCAACGCACACTTCGCAAACACACAGCCCCCTCTTCTCAAACTGGACGTTTGGCACGAGCCGTCCACAAAAGTCCCTCTGAGATGATTCAGTTTTGTGACTTGGGTCTGCTATACACAGGCAGGGGGCCGAGCCAAGAGGAAAGAAATCCTGCAGCCCCGGCCATGCAGAAATACAGCCCCCCACCCCCAGCCCCCAGCAGAATCTGTAAGAACGGCACGCAACAGTTTGGGACTCGCCTGGCAATGGGAGTGGGCTAACACATCTGCGAAAGGGCATCTGCTTAACGTTCTCCAGATTTCATCTGTTCGGTCTTAAGAGGTGAGAAGCGCAGTGCTGAGCCACGTAACAAGGCTCTGCCCCAGGTCTATGGCCCCGAGTCAGGCACTGTGTCCCGGGAGTGCAGAGAACAGCGCCAGCCAGACCCATGGAACTGTCTCGAGGTCCAGAACCCTTCCCGAAGGACGAGGGGGCTTAATCAAACCTGAGAGATCTACAGGTGGTGCAGGGCTGTTCTTCACCCTCGTGGTCGTCGCGGGTTCAGATCTCCTTTCCTTGCTCACTTCCCCAGCCCCGGGAGGCGACCGTCAGCTCGGCTCAGGTCCCCGACTCTCCCGACCCTGCCAGCTGAATCCCGTCCGAACCCGTGTATCACTGCCTGTGTGACGGGAGGGTGGGGGCTCTAGTCCCTGTAGCACCTGCCCCAGATCATCTGTCTCCTCTGGGCGCTCCCACCATCTCTGTCTCCCACACTCTCTCTTCATTGAGAGGAGAAGGGTGCGTGGTGGTGCTCAGGGGCTACTCCTGGCTCTGTGCTCAGGAGGGACCTGGAGGTTCTTAAGACCCCATGAGTAGCATCGGGCTCAGGAGAAACTGGCTCATATAAGGCAAACCCCTCCCCTGTACTATCCCTCTGACCCCATTTTAACTTAAAAAACCTTGTGTCAAGGCTCAACCCTTAACAACATATCATTAATCTCTTAGAGAAGGGCTCACTGGTCCCTGGGCGAAATACAACGATCTTCAATCTTTGGAGCATTTTCAGCGGATTGTTCAAACAAACAAACAAACAAACAATACAAAGGGAATGATTTTGGTTCTGCTTTGGGGCAGGAGTTGGGATTTGGTGTGGAAACACACGAAAGATGGTGGTGGGAAGGTGTCATGGTGGTGGGATTGGTCTTCAAATAATTAAATGTAGTCAAATATTGTGAACTATTTTATAAAAGGTAAAGGTAAAGGTAAAGGCCCTCCCGTTGATCGTCGATTTGCTCGAGCGGGCCCAGTAACGTCTCCTTTGGAGACTTTGTTGTTACTGTGTCTGGCATATCGAATACGTCCGGGGAGCTTGCCAGGCTCTGCTGTGCGGGCAAGATACTCTCGGTAGCTTGCCGGGCTCTCCGAGAGGGGCGGAGGAATCGAACTCCGGTCGGCCATGTTGGCTGCGTGCAAGGCGAACGCCCTACCGCTGTGCTATCACTCCAGGTCCCCAAGAAGCAACAAAAATGGGGTTGGGTTTCTGGGAGACAGTGGCCAGGCACATTTCCTCAAGTGTGCCCGGCTCAGGTGCCACCTGTAGGTCGCCTGTCCCATCCGCTGCCCTGACAGGGGCCGCTGGCCCGGGGCGGGAGCAGTGATGACGGCCCCTCTCGAGCACTGCTGAGGGGCTTCCCAGGAAAGCGATGGTGAGGAGCACAGCACGGCAAAGCTGCACTTCCACTGTTTGCCCTGGGGTCACACCCAGTGATGCTCAGGCCACACTTGCCTCTACCCTCAGGTCACTGCAGGCTGGACTTAGAGGACCAAGTGTGGCTTCCTTGGCCCTGCACCAGCCAAGTGCCTTCCCCACTGCATATTTTTCTGGCAGAAGTTTGACCCTTTTGAAGTCTTTTTTCCTGGCACGGGGCCCACTGTGGCACAGCTACGATGCCCGCCAAACTAGAACTCGGTCAGCTGCAAACCGGAAACTGTCCCTTAGAGATTCATCCCCGGCCCACGGCTATCCCGTCCACCTCCATCTCCTCCCGTTTGACTGCCCAGGTGTCCCCTCTCTGTGTGACCCCTGTGATTCTTTTGTGATGAAACTTAGCCTAACTGTCCTCAGGACCCAACCTGCCACCTCCCTCCTGAGGCTTGCTCTTCTCCCACTGTGTTTATGCACCTTTGGCTCACTCCTCCTGGACCAGGGCGGTAAGCATTGTGCTGCCTACCCCCCCCCCCCCGCTCCCCGAGTGCTGAGCACTGCCACTCGGGTACTTGGAGCCATTCTTACCCCACACACAGAGGCGTGGAGGGGGTCTGGGAGCACCCACGGGAGAGGGCATCAGAGGGATGCAAAGAGGTGCAAAGAGGTCTGCTTAGGGAGACGCACGGCAGAGGGACTCACTTGCCAGGCTCACTGAGTCCTCCAGGCAAGCAGGGGGCTGGGGATGAGGAACGGAAACGGGGTCTTTTGGTGGAAGGGCAGCACCCAAACTTTAGTGCTGGGTGCCAAGAATCCGACAAACATGGGTAGGTGTCCATCGAGATAAACATCTCCAAGGCTACAATTTGTAAACTAATGAAAATCAATTAAAAATTGGGGAACTGGGTACAAAAGAAATCAGAGAAATTTGTGGAGTGGCAATAACTCTTCTTGCTTCTACAACAGTTGCGAAAGGCAGGATTTGTGCAGGTATTCTCCTGTGCCCTCAGGATTCCAAGGCAGAGAGCGAGGACGAAGGAAGGAACAGAAAATTCAGTTTGGAGCAGAGAAAAAAAAAATATGTCATTGAGCTTAACAATGAGACCCTGGAATGGCAGAAGCATTAGTGGTAACTGTCCACCCAGCGGCCGGCACATGCGGACTTTAGGGTCTGGGTTCTATCAGGGCAGGGGTGCGAGCAGCGGACCTAGTGGACAGCAGCGTCCTGGGCAGGAGAGCAGGTCACGGACAGCTGTGGCGGGAAACCACCAACATTCGTGCCTGGGGGTGGAATGGTGAGTACAGGCGAGACACTTGCCTGCACACAGCTGAGCCGTCCCACTTCTGCCACCGCCTCTGGGCCCCCAGCACCACCAGGCGTGACTCCTGAGTGCGGAGCCAGAAGGTACCCCAAGCGTAGTCACGTCAGTCCCCGAACAAGATGAAACGAAACAAAGCCCGAACCTGTGCGTCCTGGCCATGGAACTAGCTGCTCCCGCGAGGCGCCTCTTCCCGACGTCCCCATCTCTTTCTTCCTTTCGTTTCTCCTTTCCTCCCGCCTGCTCCACCTTCCCTTCGTCCTTCCTTCTTTTCCTTTTATCCTTTTCCTCTCCCTTCCCTGCCCCCCCTTTCCTCTCTCATTCTTTTTCTTTTCTTTTTTTTTAAATGGCTTATTTTCGTTTATCCCATTGATTTGTAGAAATGTGTCTTTCCTGGGGATGATTTTGTTTGGTTTGGGTTTTGGGTCACCCCTGGGAATGCTCAGTGTAGGGGGTCATGCCCAGTGGTGCTGGTGGGATGCAGTGGTGGTGCCGGGACAGAGCCTGGGCCTCCCACGTGAAGTGCAAGTTCCCCAGTTCTTTAAGCTCCTCCAGCCCCAGACACGATATTCTGGCCAATTGTGTGTATTGTACCGGCGGCAGAGGAACAAAGGTATGCGGGTCCTTGGGCTGAGATCTCTAAGCCTGCTCAGATCGGGGCTGAGCATCCTCCACCCAGATCCTCCATCTTCTGGTAGTCAGGGGTCACACCCACCAACTGGCCCCCTGGTGCCATGTGATCCCATCAACGGCCAAGACCCAGAGACTACAAAACCCAGCTCCTGGAATGACACCTTATTATCTCATTCTTACTTTGAACAAAATGGCAGGCTTCCGAATGTA